GGGAACATGACGGGGATAGTCCCCCGGGAACCCACCAGTGGGCCCAGCTTCAAGAAGAAGGCTGGGAAATTAGCCTACACACGTGTATGTATGCGCACAAAGAGATGCTGGCCAGCAACCTGGGGCGGGTAAACCCAGGGGTGTTGTGGCCACTCACCCAGAGGAGCTCACTTCTACTAAGAAGTCCTGCTTCTCTCGCCAGCAGAGCGACTTCTCCAAACCCACAGCAACAGCGGCCCAAATCAGCCGCCAGCCAGGACCTGCCCAGCACCTGTGCGTGGTCAGGTCATTAGCGGGATGGACAGCACGGAAATGAATCTCCCCCCGTAGCTGCGCAGGGCTTTCGGCTGGGACCGGTGGCGCTGGCTGAAACCCGGCTGGTGTCTCCCCGCTTAGCGCATCGGCCACCAGAGCGCCGAGGCTCTCGCTTGGTATCCGCTGGAGCGTGTCAGTTTCCAGCCTATCCGAACAATACGGCAACATCCACGATTTCTCCTGCCCCTTCTATCCGTGCCTACCAACCTACGGGAAACAGGCAGAGACAATAAACCCGAATCGGGGTACGATCACTGCGTTCTGTATCGATCTACTGATTTATCTCTGTGATTATTTAGCCTTCTCAAGGAGAACAAACCAGGGAGTGAAACATGGACAGATCCCCTCCTGGGCATCAGCTCCATGTGGGTCCGTAGCGGTTCAGAACTAATCAAGGGCTAATTAGTCCCTTTTCGGAATAATAAACCTCCATTGACTTCAGCGTGCCTGTTTGTGCCACAAACTCGGGCCCAGAGTGAGGGGGGAAGATTAGATCCTCGCTTGGACGCTTTAATGCCTTTGTGGCAGACCGGGGGCGGGGGGAGGGGTGACACCCCGCACTGACCCCTTCTCTGGGTGGAGCTGGGTTGGGGTGCATGAATGAGCTCGTCATATTCACAGCACAGAAGCGACGGTTGTGACTTGGCAATTTCACTACAGGGCTGCATTGAGGACTTGGGGAAACTAGAGAATCAACTTTTTGAATTTCAACCCTTTTTCCAATGGGGTGTTCTGTTGTGTGATTTACATCGGATGCTGACAAGTGCAGTGACATCTACATTCCAGCTCTGTGTCCCTATCCCGATCCCCTGGTGGGACAAATACATCAGGCAAAATGATACTTGGTAATTCTCTCCTCCCTAGTCGGTTTGTGGTTTTAGTAAAGATCCCTCTGTCACGCCCGCTGTAAAGCATTACTCAATTATTTCTGTTGGTTGATCTTCCGAGTCCCCTTTGGAATAAATAATATGTCCCAAAGAAACAATTACCTCATTCATGTAAAAAGGAGAAGAGACAACAGCCGCAGCCATAGCCTGTCCCTTGTGATTGATTTTCAAATACTCTACCTTTCAAGAGAACTGCCCGGTGTGCAACAATTTGTTACACAGTCCAGGCCGGCTCTTTGTTCGGATCTGATTTTGAGCGAGCCTTTGACTGGAAACATTTGTAACTAGGAGAAGACAAACAGTTAAAGCGAATAATTCTCTCCTTGAAGTGAAAGGGTCAGAGTTTCCTTCAGGAAGCAGCCTGCCTATCACACCGTGAACTGTGCAAAAACCCATCACTTGCCTTATGTTTCCCACCTACCCCTTTGAGCTGGGAAAGTGTGGGGTGGGCAGAGGGCAGAGTATTGATCTGTTGGCTTTCGATTCTACTCTGTAGATCTTCCTCCCTCCCTTTCCGGGTCCACAGCACAGTACAGGTCTGCATGCCAAAGAGCCGAAAGGATTAGCAGTGAGTGCTGGGGAAATCCGGCCCCCCAGGGTGTTCGTTCAGTCCGAAATGTCAGGGGGGCTCTTACGTTCCTGTTTGCACCTGACAGCCTGCCTCTGTGATGGTTTTACTTCCCTGAAAACGAGGATGTGGCACCCAGAGTTTTACAGACAGGGAGCAAAGTTTGTAGTTCGTGAAGCAGCCGCCTGGGAAGCAGGAGGCCAGAATTCGGGCTGTCCCAGGGGCCGGGCTCAAGTCACTTACCCGCAGCTGCAAAGTAGGAGCTTTCCTGCCTCCCGGGGCGGCAATTAGTTACTGTGCGCTGGGAACTTACAACGCACCTATATGCGCCCCACCTGCAAAACCAGGACTGGGGGCCACTGAGGCAAGTGAGACTAACCCTTGAGTAAGAATTGCCCCATGAGTTAGACTTTGCAATGTTGGATCGCTACTTATTCGCATTCATGTTGTGGCTGATTTATTGGCGTTTTAAACGCCGATCATGTGTATATTATCTTTACCATTTATTACTGACCATAAGTTATTAGTATAGTTATTTACTCACCGCTGTTGTGTGATTACTTCGGGTCTTGTATCTCAAGGGGAAACTCCGTCCGTCTCAAACTCAAAGCTCTGTCACTAAGAGTTGGTACCTCCCTACGCTGGACGGGTGATTTACCTGCTGGCTGATCTTCAGACTCTAGCCGCTATCTCGGCTTTGTCACCGACTCAGGGTCACACACACAGACACACGTGTGCAAGAAGATTAAAATCCAGCGCACGCTGCTCTTACCTGTGGTTCTGTGGGCTGCCTCTTGAGCTAAGATCAGCACCAGCCTTTGGCCAGCATTGTTATCTGGTTCGTGTCGAGCTAAGGGGAAAACGACATGCACTTCACCTGCTCCGACCGACAAGCCCGGCAACTCCCTCACCCCACCCCTGAATTGTTTAGACCCCGAAGTCCTGGTGACTGGCACCTTTCACTACTGATGCCCGGTCCTGCCCTTTTTTGGTTTTGAGTACCGTTACTTTTGCCCAGGTGTGAGTGAAGAGATGTTTTTACATCACATCTCCCTCGGACCGGGTTTCTTTTGGATAATTCCTGATTTTAAGCGTAGCGGATTTTTTGAAATATTAATTTCAGAGGAAATGTGGCAGGGGAAGGGCTAACTTCACCCAGAAATCGCCCCTTTGTGGCGATCTCAAAAGGCAGGAACTGGGGGTGATGTGTGATTCGAGGAGGGAAAATATCTGCATCATGATGTTTTCAGGGAGAGATGAATGGTTCGGCGCGGACCAAACTGGGCATCCCGACGCCTGGCAAACTGAGTCTACATTTATGAGGGATCGCAGCAAGAACCCAACCCACGCGCCTGTAGTGGGGAGGCACAGCCTGCTTGCCTGGCTCATGGCAGAGCCATCTCTCCTCTGAGCTCCTCCCAAGGAGGGCCGCGGGCAACCAGCTTCCAAAGTGTTTGCGGGAACTGAAACCTCGTGCGACCTTCACATTTCAAACGTGTCCGCCCCAACCTGCCCAAGTCTCTCTCCTTTGCCTTACGGCCTGGGTACACTTTCACTCATCATCTCTGTGGCAACGTAAGCGGCCACATTTCGATACACGATAGCACTCGGTGGCACCGAGGGGCTGCGCCGCAGAGCGGCCACGGGATGGACGCGGCTCGGCTGAAAGATCTTTAGCTTTGGCGGAGCTGGATGGTCAGTCTTCTGCTCGTGGAGACCGAGCGCGGGGTTTGCCAGCTGGCATCAGCCTAGCGTCCCAAACCCAGACACGGCTCCTGGGTAGGACCAACCATTGTATCAAGGCACCAGCCTGGCTTGTTCAGAAGTGCGACAGAAAGAACACTGATCTCCCTTCCCCAAACTGCAGATCTCGCTAGCGGTTCCGTACAGGAGGGGAAACATGCACCTTGCCCAACCTGCCAGCTAACTAGCCGGGCTGTTCCTTAAGGGTGCCGCAGCCTGGCAAGCCCGGTCCATTAATGTTGGGGATGACAGTGTTCGGGCAGGAGCGAGTTAAAAAGGGCATTAACAATGGAATGGGCCTGCTAGCAGATCACTTAAAGCAATACACCCTCGCCCTGTGAGCTCCAGTCCTGAATTATTAATATTATTTCATGTTACATCAGTGCGCCTTCTTGAAGATTAGAGGTTTATTAAGCCTGGCGACAAGTTTTAACCGATTAGCCATTCTCCCAGTAGAGGTCCTTCTATCCGAGTGAAATGCAGGACCCTGCTTTGGAAATCAGACAGTGGGGACCGTGTAAAGGGAGTTTAAACGTGAAAAGAGAACAGAAAGGCAGTGAAACGTCCACTGACTGACAAGCCACATTAACTCCAAGATCGCGGGAACAGGTTTCTGTGGGGTGGTCCCGTCGACCCCCAAAATAAACAATTGGATACTTCTTTGAACCGCAAACAGGGCAGCTTATTATAGAGGGATGTTGCGAATGGAAATTCATCAGAGTAAAAAAGATTTTTTAAGAAGCCCCTTTTAATATTTGTTTCCTTTTTTTATGCAAAGATTTTTCCAAGTTGCAGGTTAAAAAAAAAAAAGCGGCTCCGTGCAGAAACTGTGGGGCTGTGAACTGTGGCTGTTCAGCCCTGTGATTATTTAAGCAGCTTTTCAGCCCATTCTAAGGGCACATTCCCCCCACCCCCTTTCCTCTGGGGAGAGGCTTTTAAAAGATCAAAAGAGAGCCACACGTTTGCAGCTAGTCACCGAAAGGGCTGATACATTCTGATGATCGTTTGCCGTCATGAATTGCTCAAGAGGCACCGTGACTGAAAACTGCAATATAGACCATAAACATTTCCTCAAGACAAAATCAGTTCAACAGGCTTTTCAATGAACCAATCTGCCCCAAGTAATATGTGCTAAAATAGCGGCTCATATCACCGTCTCCATCGGTATTTCTACAACTAATACAATTAAACAACAAAATGTTAAAAACAGAATGAAAAATTAGAGGGTCTTCCTATCAGAAATGTATTTTTAATGACAAATTGGTGTTAATAAAAGGGAAAGAATAACGGATCAGTAAGATAGCAACGGTAATACCAGCTGCAATGGTCGTTAGTTTTTTATGACGACCTTTGATTTGAGAAAGAAACTAAATTTAAAACAATTTGTTGTGCAAGGTAGGATGAAATTAGAGGTGCAATGTATCATTCTCTGTAAAATATTTATTAAGCTCCTGTCAGTTTCAAGAGCAAGTTCCCAGCTAATTTTTATGCCTTTCTTTTCCCTCCAACAAATACATTAATAGGGTTCACACGTAAATATCACATGCAGATACACCTTTTGTAAGCACTTGTCTTGCACCTCAACATAAAATAGGTTTAAATAGTACATAAAGCATAATAACAAATACAGACTAACATAGTATAGTAATGCGTTACTGAAATAAACTCCAAGTAATTCTTGGGATGTTAAGATAAAACCGTTTGAATTAGATTTTAAAATACTTGAGCGAGCTGGTTTGATTTAAACACAAGGCGAAACATACTTCATCACAAGAGGGAGATTTTTAGTAATTAATCCCCAAAGGAGAAAGTCTCCTTGCAAAAGGAGTGAGGGCTGGGGCATGTCTGGATTTCAGCTCTCACACAAGTGTAATAATCACCTCTTGAATGGAAAGCTCTGAAGCAGATCGGAGGAGTGGTTGCTGCTGGGCTAGAAGGGAATCTCAGACCAGGTAAACAGTGAGGGAATTGCTGCTTCTTGAAGCGTGGGGGAACCTGAGCGAGAAAGAATCTTTGTGTGTTGCACGGCGTTCCGCGTTCCATTGTTCACTCCTGGCCAATCAATTCGCTCTCTCTCCCTCACTGCCAATCGCCTCCGGGGGCTGCTCTGGCGGCCTGGTGAAGTCACTGCTCCCTCCCTCCCTCCTCAGAGCTGGGCCTTGGGCTGATGCGTGCTGACGTCATGCTGCGTATGGGACAGGGCAGGCTCCACTTTCTAACTCCTCCAGGCTGGAGTAGTTAGTTAGCAAACAGCAGGCACTGGGCTGGCAGCCTGCTCCTTCTGCATCATAACATTTTGCACACATCTCTTTCTGCATGGTGGATATTATTTTTCATTATCCTTTTCTGGGTGCTATGGGGGATCATTCCAAGAGTAAGTTGATCTTTGGTCTGAATGATACTTGTAAATATTTTATTTGAAACGTTTAAGCTGATTCTACAAGTGGTTTATTTACAGAGATACTTTTAGAGCACATTATAAAATCGTGCATTTTTTAAACTAGGGTTATTTTTGCTCTTTCACAATCTGTTGCTTTTTGTTTTTTTTTAATTAAAAGCTATTTTATCTTGCTGTGTCACGATCTCGGGCTGCAGAATTCGTTGTGTTTTTTTTTCTTTTTAAAGAACAAATGTTTTGTTGGGTTTTGCTCTGAATGCCTTTTATTCTAATAGCTCAGGCATTCGTCATTAATTATTAATATATAAAATAAGAAAAATGCAAAAAAGAAAAGCAGAGCCTAGGTTTTTTTTTTTTTTTTAAATAAGACGTAGAATAAATGCAGATGAAATAACCGGCAGATAAAGTTCATCTGGTTTTCCATTATGTTTAACTATCTTCCAGTTCTATATTTTCCAACCTTTATCCTAGTATTTACACCTACCAATTGTCTCTGTAGAATTTCCTTGCAGTTCAAGTGACTGTAAAAGTCACAATATATATGGAGAATAGCTGATAGCTGCTGCAGTTTATCGATTTCACCTTCTTTTTCTTTCTTTCTTTCTTTCCATTGCCTGAACATTAGTAGAGACTGTCTCCTAATTACGAATGCCTCTGTGATTGCAGTCCTTTGAGACAGTTCTGATTAGAAATGATATGCTTCCAGTATACGTTCTAAATTTCCTCTGCTCATTTCCACTGGTAGAAAAGCCCGGAATTGCCATGTGTGTGGGCTGTGGGAGTCAGATCCATGACCAGTACATCCTGAAGGTCTCCCCGGACCTCGAGTGGCATGCAGCATGTCTCAAATGCGCTGAATGCAGCCAGTACTTGGATGAAACCTGCACTTGTTTTGTGAGAGATGGCAAGACATACTGTAAAAGGGATTATATCAGGTGATTCAAAAAGCTCTTTATCCATTTAAAAAAAAACAACTTTCCTCCGACCCATTTCTTAAGAGCTAATTTCAAGAGCTCCCCATCTGTGAAATCGCACTTCCTCCTGCTTGCTAAAGGAGGGAGCCAATACTTTTGTGATCAGGACAAATTATGTTCCTGTTTATTCGGCTTTGGAGACAGGAAGTTATTAACGATTGATACAACCAAACGAGAATATTAATAATAACCAGCATGTCGGCGAGCAAGAGGCAGTATTGAGCTGCACATTCCCTAATGCCTGTTACAGAAGAATGTGGGTAAGGGGAAATTTTCCTGTTGAACCAGAGCCCCCTTCTCGAATTAAATGAGTGGGTCAGATTTGTTAGGAAGAGAGCAGAGGGGACCCTCTGGGTTTCTCCGCCGGGGTAATTAGTTACTGGGGAGGGCGAGCTGGGACCAGTGGGGTGAGTGTGTAGTGGCTTCATGGCCCTTTCTCTCTCGGCAGGTTATTCGGCATAAAGTGTGCGAAGTGCAAGGTGGGATTCAGCAGCAGTGATCTGGTGATGAGAGCCCGGGAGAACGTGTATCACATCGAATGTTTCCGCTGCTCCGTCTGCAGCCGCCAGCTCCTGCCCGGGGATGAGTTCTCTCTACGGGACCACGAGCTGCTCTGCCGGGCCGACCACAGCCTGCTGCTGGATAGGAGCTCGGCGGATAGCCCCAGGAGCCCCGGCCATTTACAGAGCACCAGAGGCCTGCATCTATCAGGTAAAGGAGCAACAGATCTGCCGGGCGCTGGGGCCCACCTGGGGGTGTGAGATCATCAGCTAGCTCAGTAAATACAGGGTCTAGACACATACACGCCATGTATTGTTATCCCTGGGGGGAAATGCCATGCACTGTACAAACTGCTGGAGCTGTGTGTCTGTGAATGGATAATGAATAGATGTATGAATAATTTTCTATCTAACTCGGACTCTGCCTATTAACGCCGCAGGGACATTTATATCTTTAGTCGTCCCTCTTATAGGGCTACAGAAAATACATCTGTTATCTCCACCACGATGCGCTGAGTTATGGAGGCCTAGAGAGTCTGGCCAGAGACTCTGCAGTCTTGAAGTGTTTCCCACCTGGCCCCACGCTGGGAACCTCTTCCCTCTTCCCCCCCCCCATCTCCTTCATGTAGGCCTCTTTCTTCTGCGTCTGGGGAGTGGGAGGGACTGGACGTTACAGGCCACTTGCCAAGGAAATGTGAGGTTCTGTACACACCCAGAAGAGGAGCGGGAGAGGCAGACTGGGCGAGGGGCAGAGCGGGGGTGGCTGGAGGCGGCTGAGAAGGGAATCGGAGTTGTTACAGGGCTGGGCGAGCATTGTACAGTCCAGGCGGCTGAATACTGAGCTACACGTAGCTGCAGCCAAAACAAAAACAAAAACAGCGCACCTGGGGAGGGATGGAAGAGGGACTCAATGAGGCCAGCCAGTAGAGCCGGGGAGAGGGACGGTGGCCGCCCTGGTTGCCCAAGGGAGCAGCAGCGGATTCGTGGGAAAAGCGAGAGGGACGTGGCAGAGCCGGGGAGCGGCTACACACCCTGTTCTCGACACTGCAGTGATGCCGAGGGACAGGAGGAGAGAACCCCCCTTGCCATAGGCCCGCGGACCGGGCGGTAGGAGCCATAGCACGTTGGGTGGAGGTTAACCTCCATCTGCCTGTGGTGCTCCAGGAGGCACGGGAGGGAATTTCAACCACAGCCAGGACAGGAGGCTAGAGAGCTGGCTGTCCCCTTGGGGTGAGGGCCAGCGCCATTCCGATAACCGGCCTTCATCCTCTAAGTCCAAACCCTGCTCGCGCCCAGCCCCAGGGCAGCGGTGCTCAGAGACAAGGTGATGGGCTCTGGCCCAGGAGACTAGCTCGACAGATGGATCTGCAGCGTTTGGTCCGAAACTCCAGCTCCAGAGCCAGTCCCATAATGTGTACGAGAGCAAACAGGAGCGGGAAGACAAGTCCAAACCACGGCTGCGTTTAGGAGGTTTTGGAATAAACGGGGATTCATCCGAGGCGCCCTGAACTGCCCTGCACCAGGCTGCGAAACGCTCGCTAACCGCGGGACAGCCCCGGCAGTGGTCCTGGCGCGTTCAGTGTGAACGGGACTAGAAATCGAAAGGTGTGAGTATCGAGAGAGAGCGCCAGGGCTGCTTCCCCAATTATCTCCAGCCAGTCACTGAACACTCCGGGGCAGCTTTCTGTCATTCGGGGGAAGAAAATCAGCTAGGATGGGGGTATATTTCCATGCACAATCTCTGCTTTCATAGGCTGCCCTCCTTTCCTCCGGGAATAATAACCCTGCGACTGCAGTCCGCTCGTCCGCTGGCCTAGGCCATGTATTTGTTTCAAGAAGGGTGAGGTTTCACTCATCGGAAACAAAACCATGTGGGTTTTAAAAATATCGAGCTGCAAAAATAAAAAACAAAAACAAACCACCTCTCCTAACACCAACACTGAGTAAGAAGCGAACTGGAGCGAGATTATTCCTCTGATCAAAAGGGAATGAATGGTAAAAACAAAACAAACCCTGCCCGCAAGAAGCAGAGATCCGATGGAGAAAGGGTGGAAGACCTGGTTCCGATTGTCTCTTTGTAGGTGATTTGTGCTGGCTGCTTAGGATCTGTGCATATCGAGATTATAGGGCGGTAATGCCGCTGTGTCTCGACAAAGATTCGATCTTGGTCCTTTCGGGGGATACTCTCTGCTGACGATGTTTTTGAATTACAATTGTTGACTCATTATAGTTAACTAGTTAAAAGATCGCTGCAAGCCGGGGTTTCCCCTTTTGGGGATGATTTTATACCGCCCGGGTTATTGATTATTAAGGAAGCTCTTGTGTTGACTCCTTCCCGTCTGCCGCGTGAGACGTGCTCCCATTCGCACCGTTTTCGATTAGAAATCCCGGCTAAGGGTTTTTACTCCCGAGTACCACCCCGCATGCGGAAAGCGGTGCAGAGCCTACAGTTCCCAGGGCATGGAAGAAGCGCGGAGATTAATGGACAGGGTCACAATTGCCAGCTAGTTAGCACTTCAGCACGCTCTTTCCCTGATTATCCGGCTCCTGCTCCTTCTCCTCCTCCCTGGCTGCGGTGCACCGGGCTGGGCAGTTCGCCGCAGGCTCTCGTGGGCTGTTTGATTGAACGGTTTTTAACTCTGTTCTCCGGCCCCTGCGCTCTGCAGTGGGCCCCTTTGGGTGGCTGGGTGAGCGGGGCCGGCCCTGATTCGATCCCTGGGTAATTTGCACTTGATATAAAATCTAAAGGTCAAATCCCACTCAGGGGCAAAATGCCCGTTTTGGAATAATTAATCTTGGGGGGCGGGGTTTTATTTATCTAGCCTGTAACCCCAACCCGGGCTTTCCCCATTAAATGTCCTGCTCTAAAGAGTCGCTTTCTTCCTCGATTTCCCCAGTCGGGAAGCGGCGCGGTGCCTGGGCCTGGTCTAGCCGCTGTGTGCAGGGGCAGCTCTGGCTCGGGGCCCCGGGTTAGTGAGTCTCCGGGTGATTTTCCTCCTGCCTGATTTGTATTTGTTCGCCCTGCTTTCAAGAACCCCAGCGGCCAGAGCCAGTCTCTGGGGTGGCGGCAGCAGCTTCCCACAGTGCCTGGGGGGCTGTAAAGTACCGACCCCCCCCGCACTGCCTCCTTCTTGGTTGTTGGGCTGAGCCCCGGGATCCCCGCCTTGCAGTGTGTGTGATTCGATTCTCCCTGTTGCAGACCCGGCTGGGGAAGCAGGAACCGCTTTCCCCGCCGCAGAGTGGCTGGTACAGCTCCCTGCCTGGCTGTGCTGGAAGGGGGTGCAGCTCCGGCTTTGGGGTGCGGGTGGGAATGGCCTTTTATCTCAGAGGAGACGCAGGCCGCACCAGCTCAGGGGCGCTGGGCCTGGGCCCTGCAAGCTAATCTCCCAGGCCACATTTAGTGCAGGGGCTTAGCTGCAACCTCTCGCTCCAGGCGAGCCCTTAGCAGGGACCCCCTTCCCGGGGACCCCCGGAGTTTATCCTGCGGGGGGGAGGGCTTCACTGCAGCAGGGGAGGGTGCCTGCCTGTGATTCTCTGCGCCACGAACACAGGCCGGGCCAGAGATCACTAGAAATCCACCCGCACGCTGCCTTCGCGGCCTGGCTGGGGCTGGGGGGCGGCCTGGCTGGGGGCGCCCCGGGACGTGGCTCAGACCCCAGCGCTAACTGGAGTTGGTCGGTTCCCCCTCGCCCCGCTGCAGACTCCGTGCCCGGCCGCCAGCCCTCTCTCCGGCCCCACGTGCACAAGCAGACGGAGAAGACCACCCGCGTCCGGACGGTGCTGAACGAGAAGCAGCTGCACACGCTGCGGACCTGCTACGCGGCCAACCCGCGGCCGGACGCGCTGATGAAGGAGCAGCTGGTGGAGATGACCGGCCTGAGCCCCAGAGTGATCCGGGTCTGGTTCCAGAACAAGCGCTGCAAGGACAAGAAGAAATCCATCCTCATGAAGCAGCTTCAGCAGCAGCAGCACGGCGACAAGACAGTAAGAGCAGGGCGCCTCTTTCCACCCACCGGGCAGGGGCCATTTTGCAGGAGGGAACGGCTCTCCCTGTAGTGCCCGAGGACTCCTGGCCCTGGCCCTTGATTTCCCCGCAGTGCCCCCCCGCCCCCCATATTGCTCACATGGAAATACCTGGTGAAGAAAATGTCCGTGTGAGTGCGTGACAGCACCTCCCCTCTGCTGCACGCTCCCTTGTGCGGGACACATCAGCTCCCAGGGACCAATTCTATGGCTGTTTACACAGAAATGTTTGTGTGCATTTAAAACAAAAACCCAATAGTAAAGATGTGTTAAATAAATGAATGCCCCCTCCCCCCCCGCCAGCATCTGCAACCCCCAGAAGTGAAACTGGCTACAAATTGACCAGAAACCAAAAGTGAAACGGACTAGTCTGAGAGACCTGTGCAGAGTAAACAAACAGCGGGAATGGGGACCCGCGATCCAGATTTAACAACACAAATCGTTCCGCTTTAATAATCTACGGGTTTGCTGGCAACATAAAGAAATCGATTTAGTTTTCAAAACGCATGAATTGTTATTATGAACCCGGCCGTGACCCTTTAAGATATTTTGGGTTTACGTGAAAGCTGTTTTGGCGTGACAGCCACTTCATTCTTGCACTCGGGACATTGTTTAAAATGATCACACAATAAGGCTCAACCCAAAGGGAAAGTGCTCTTAGGTGCTGAAACAACCACCGTTCCGGGCTTGTTTTTAACTTGTTGGGAGAGCCCGGATACGGGTTTGACCCTTTTCTTCTTGGGTGCCCGGCTACAGCTAAATCATCAAGCGAATAATAATTTGTACAAGTGAAATCCCGGGCTGAGATGGCACTTTGGGCCCGTGAGACTGCAGGAGAGCCCGGGGGAGGCACTGGGAACGAAACCCGGGGGGGCCGGGGGCCGGGGGGGTGACTCTCTGACCCCGTTCCTGCTGGGATCAGGCAGAACGACAGGCGCGGGCCCTGCTGCCCTGGGGCCCCGAGCCCCGCCTTGCCGCACGGACCCGAGCAGCCGGTGGAGCGGAGGGTGTTGCAGGGTTCCACGCGGGAGGGCGAACAGGTCCCCGCACCTGGCGCTGCAATACACGTCCACGGGGCCCAGGGAGCCGGGAAGCGCAGCGCTGGGGTGGGCTCCAGGGGGGAGGCCAGCCGGGGTTTTAGGGAAGCCGGACAGCTCATGCGTTGGGCGACCCGCGCCCTGGCGCTGACTCCTGCGGCCCCTGCAATGCCCTGGGCCGCGGCCCGATACCGCAGAGCCCGCCCGGCCTGAGGCTTTGCTGCTCATCTCCCCCTCTAGAGTCTGCAGGGCCTGACCGGGACCCCTCTGGTGGCCGGGAGCCCCATCCGCCATGAGAGCGCCGTGCAAGGCAACGCCGTGGAGGTCCAGACCTACCAGCCGCCTTGGAAAGCGCTCAGTGAATTCGCATTGCAGAGTGACCTGGACCAACCTGCCTTCCAGCAGCTGGTAAGCGGCCGCTCTGCTCCACTGCGGGAGCAGGGCCCCTCCGCCTGCTCTTTATTTATTACTCCCCGACCGTGATCACCCTCCTCCTCCTGGGAGTAAAGTCATCCGCGGAGCGTCACCCCGGCCCAGCTCCGTGAAGGTTCCCAACTCCCACTGACATCACTAGAAGTTAGGAGCCGAACTGCATCCGGGATCCCTGTGCCTCGATTGGGGCCGGGGGGGGAGGGAAGAGGGGGTTGACAGTCACCCTGGGCCCGGAGGAGGAATGGTTCAGGAGCTCTAGCAACCCACACTTCCATTTCTCTTGGTACATTTCGATTTGAATTAGAGAAAAGGGCCGTTTCCATGGAAGCTCAGCCCAATGCAGCCCCTGAATACAGGCTGTATTAGCAACGGAACCCCCCACTTAGACTGTAAGCTCCCTGGGGCAGGAGCTGTGATCCACAGCAGAGCAATATAAATGTTAAGCGGCCAGGAGACCAATAATGATAGAAACGGGATTAGCCACAGGGACGTGTTCCTGGTGCGTGCCCATTTCAACAGTTCCCCGCACGCTTTGGCAAGGGAATAGGAAGTGTCCTTACAGGAACAAAACAAAAGGTCCAGTTCCATCGCATTTGGAAAAAGGAAGCGAGAGACATTCCCCGGGACAAATCAGCTAGTGGTTTGTAATTGACCATGTGCTGGTAAATAGTTACAAGGGGCCAGATCCTGACATCCTGACTCAGGATTTTTGGTGAGGCTTCCAGGGTCTGGCCCATGGGCTCTCTGGTTTTTAACACTCCCGTTCCGGTGCGTTAACTTCTCTCTGAGCTGGATGTTTGTGGAGGAGAATCGGGCTTAGAAAAGGAAGCGGATGAAGCCCCCCGTTAATGTACTCCTCCGATAGGACTGCGATGTTTTAGTAGATAATCAAAAATTAATCTTGTGTTATGTTTAGTTAATATAATGGGAAAGTGAGACAGGAGTGCTGTATGAATAATTAAACGATCATTTACTAGCATTGGAAGAGCGCATTGATGAAATATGCTGCACATACATCACCCGGTGATATATGGAGCCCAGCACTGCGCAACTGCTACTGGACCACTGCCTAGTCTGAAATGAACTTCGAAAAGTCTAGCAGATTTCTTAATGGGCAGGAGAGCCTCTTCCCATTGCAAAGAAATCCCCGGGGGTTGCACGAGGAGCGTGCAGCACTGCTGAGCTGGGGAGATCTTTTTCCATAGTGCCCAATAGCATTCCGCCAGGAGGAGGGAACTTCTCTCTAGGACGCCTGGGTTCTCATCAGCTTGGTTTGTTTGTTTAGCTATAGGTGATCATGTCGTATCCTTGTATTAAGGATGGGATTTATTTTGCCAGCACAGGCTCCGTCTGGCAGAGGGGTGCTGTGGTTTGAATGTGGGCAAGAGTAATGAAGGGCTCTGCAGGTCGTGTCGCTCCCCTGGTGCCATCCCCTGACAATAGGTGTTTGTGGCAATACCTTCTAACGAAACTGAACAGGAGGGAGGGGTTCTTTAGCCATGGGGCATCCCTGCTTGGGGAGATCGAGGCTAGGTTTAGAACAAGTGTTATTTAAAGATGTTTGAACTAAAACATGCACAAACCCTGGAGGACACAGGGCATGTTGTGTTTTAGCCCTTATCTGCTGCAGGTGAATCTTAGCTAGTTTTTAAACCCTACCTTGCACTAGGTGCTGGAATATTATTTTTAGCAGCGTCTAATTAAAAGGGGTTAACACGATAAAAAAAAAAAGCTTCCCCCAGTCGAGATAAGACAGGGATTGGGGGCTCTGGATTCTGCCCACATCGCTCTCACCCATCTCCCCGCTCCCTTTCCTCCCCCCCCCCCCCAGGTATCCTTTTCCGAATCTGGCTCCTTGGGTAACTCTTCCGGCAGCGATGTGACCTCCTTGTCTTCCCAGTTACCCGACACCCCCAACAGCATGGTACCCAGTCCTGTGGAGACGTGAGACAAGCACACACCCCCGGCGGATTTGGACTTTCGCATGCTCCTGCTCCCTGCATGAGACAAGCCCGGCCTCAGGCTGGCCCAGAGCTCCAAACAAAACTTTTTATAATAATATTATTTAAAACCAAACAAAAATATGTCTTGACTGCCAAAAAGCACCAGGATTCTAGCTGCCTTCACCAGACTGGAGAGAACTCCCCCCCCCCCCTCATCTCCCCAGCTTGTTTTCCCAACTGATTTTTTTTCCCAGAGCAAACTTGGATTTTCTAAAATTAGCCCCCAGATCACCTACTGTATAATGGTAGTTTGTACATTTTTTTGTTTCGTTTTCCTTTTTGGAAGAAAAAAGGATCTTTTGTGTCTTCCTAAGACTGGTTGGAAGCCAGTTAAATCATCTCAGCTCGATGTTGTCTTTTGAGTAGTCATCTCCATCCCAGTGTCTCTCACAGCATCACACGAGTGAATTCATTCCATACTCTGCATTATCCCTGACTTGAAACCTTGTCCTGTTTTGGGTGGGGCGAGAGGACCCCCTCCCCCCAAGCCGCATGATTGCTGGAAAACATATATATGGAAATGAGACTTTTATTGAAAATGTTAAGTTATCTTATGGACGGAGGACAGATTGTTTGAGCCTTTAAAGAACAAAAGTAAGTTATTGTTATTTATTGTCAGAGCAGCAGTTAATAGTGGAATTAATATTTTGATTTTAATAAAAAATAACCTCATTGGAAAGTGCTGCATCGTGTGTGTATTGTTAACCAGCTCTGTCAGGTGAGAGTAAAGAGAAACCAGGGGTCAAAATTCTGCCGAAATCATTCTAAGGGGCCGTCCTTGAAAACAAATCTGCAGCTCGAAATGACCATCCGGAATCAAACTGGTCAAACTAGAAACAAGATAAATGACCTCTTCCGTCATGGTATCAGAGGCTTTAAAGGAATACATGGAACAGCAGGAATCCGTGTTGCAAAAGAGCTCCCAGTAAGACTGAGCTATTTATCGCACTGCGTTATTTATAACTGTTTTCTTAAGTATATTTTTAAAAAACACCTTGGTGTAGATGTTGATTGATATTCAAAGGAAAAGCCGAATTCCCCTCCACCCCCAATAATGATTGTCTAATTTAATCGATTTGCCTTCCTGAATCATGGCACTATGTGTTAAAGCATCCTGTCTAAGATCACACGGTATTTTTAAATTAGAAAATAAATTTATTTCCAGTTTCAATTTGAACCACTTTTCAAAACCCCAATGCAAGCTGCCCTTCTTCCCAGTGCATCCCTAGTGAAAATGTTTGTTTTCTCAGCAGTAAGAGACAGAGATTTCATCTCCTGAGCATCAGCACTGAAATGCTGGGCAGGGCTGGCTGCAATTCTGCTTCTCTTTGCAGCTTCCTATTTCAGCTCACACTCAGTTGCCAGCGACTGGGGTTGTCCCTACAAATCTATTAAATATAGCACCCGAATTGGAGATGTGGTGCTCTCCAGTTCTGTTACTGCATTTACAGTCCTGCGCCCTCCCCCACAAGGCAGTGTGTGGAGTGGGCTCTGGGTTTGTCCGCCTCTAGCTGCTGGGATCCTAATTCACAGGGAAAGTGAACTGCCCGGGGTGGACAGGGGATGCTGTTCGCAGGGGCTGGGCAGTCGCCCGGCCCCCAGGTTCCTCCCAGGAGAATGTCATTGGGCCGAAGGTTACTTCCCCTCCCCCACTCTTTATTTCAGGATTAATGCGGGGGGAGGGGGGAAGGCGTGTGAAATATATTTATTCACACTTTGCTGCTCAATAAGGGGATGAGGATGACTCTGCATTAGGCTCTTTGGCTCCCACTGCCGTCTCCCTTCCACCCGTGTAAAGGCGCAGTCAATCCAGAGCCACTCCGGATTCACACCGGTGGAAAAGAGGGCAGCTCTGGCTGTTACTAGCTCACCCGCCGCCCCAGAGAGAACACCCACTCCGGCCCCCCTCCAAAGCAGTTAAAGCCCCTCGCCTGCCGTCCTTCGCCCCTGAGGAGGCCGCGATGGGCAGCGTTGTCAGCTCCCAACAGTCGCCCAGGGCAAGGGGCGCCGGCCTCACCCACCGCGCCGCCGAAGCCCGGCCCAGCTGTGACCCAGCAGCCGCGGCTCCTGCCGCAGACCTGCGCGCCTCGGCCCTGCTCCGTAGCCGCATAAGCAACGGGTAGCATGGCGCTCGGGCTGGGTTTCAGTTTACCGGGCTACGAAGAGCGCCGCGGTCCGTGTAACCGGCTTTGCGGCCCGGAGCCGCCTGCAGCTCATTGTCTCCCGGGCTGCAGTGCCCGAGCAGGGGCGGCGGGCATTTAGCAACAAGCACCCTTTTGGTTGCCGTTACGCTGCCTGCCACTCAAGGGGCCGAGCATTGCCCAGGCCCTGCAAAGCACTTACCCTAAACCGCCCAGCCAGCGGCGGCTAAGAAATAAAACCCTTTGCACCTCGGGGAGGCGAGGGGCAGAAGCCGGGGAGCTCCCCCAGCGAGCAGCCCCCACACAGGGAATCGCTAGTGTCTAGTGCGTCAGATCATAAGCACCGAGCCCCAGCCACAAACCGGCTCGACCTTTCAAAGGCCGCGCAGCAGCGAGCTAATTAACGCGCTAAGTCCTGTGACCGCAGCTTGGGATCGCCGCGAGTGGCTAGTTTGTCCTGACTGTCCCCAGAGTGGATTTGTGATGTGATCACTCTAGTTGCATTTATTAATTCTCCCGTCTAGACAGAGGCGAAGGCTGGGCGGCTCCTTATCTGGGTTTGGCATCACCTGCAAGCGATACACTGAAGGGAGCCACATCCACCCTCTGCTACGGCCGCTGCTAGTTCCCCTCCGAGAACCAGTCTGGCGTGTCCTGGGTTTATTTTCTTTGCAGCCCCAAAGGCGAAGGGTTTCTCTGGGGAGGGAGGGGCCCCGCTCGCTGCAATGGCCCCTGGATAGGCCGTGCCCAGGTCAGCTGGTGTGACATTTCAAACCCCGCCGCCGGCCCTCTCTCTCTCTGTGTTTTAAGGAGAAACTGACTAGTGATCGCAGGAAATAAGAGGCAGATACTGAATCTCCACCAGCCCCCCGAGCCAGGCCATGAGCTGGAGGCTCGGGTTCTCAGTCACAAATATTTAACCCTTTGTTTAACCCTCCGGTGCCAGGTCGTCCCCCCCCCCCCCAGCAGTGCGAACCTGCCCCCTTCCAAGGGTCTGGCGCAAGGCAGATGCCAGCTGCACGGGGCTGGAAGAGCCCCACAGACGGGCCTGCGGGTGGATTTAGGGCTGGCCCACAGGGCTGTGGGCTTTGAGCGAGGGGAGGAACTGGGCTTTGCTCAGAGGCTTGTCTCTCTGCCCCCCACCCCAGGAGCCCGTCGGCCAGCTGGGGCTGCAGGCACGTCACTAGGGGCCGGGAGGCGGGGGAGGGGTGGGGTGATGGGGAGACGGTGGAAAGGGCCCGAAGTCTGGTTTTCTTCTAGTTCCCGAGAGACAGCAGCACTTTGCCTTTAATAAGCTCTTTCTCCCAAGTGTAGGAAATGGGGCTGCAAACTCCGAGATAAGAGTCTAGATAGGCTGGGTTAATAAGGACCAGGTTCGCCTCCACACTGCCCGGGCAGGTTTGCAATGAGAGCTGGGGGATCCTTGCAGACCGTGTGCACTTAACCTAGACCCCTCCCCTCCCTCCAGATCTCCCCAGGGACTGGCTGGGCCTGACCTGAGTCAAGGGCTGCACCTCCAGCCACCTTCCCCACGGGCACAGTCCATGCCCCAAGACTACCCCCCGGGCTGCTGCTGGAGTGGGGCGGAGCTGCCTCGTCCGCATTAAGCGCCGCGGGTTGCGGAGCGGATTGGAATCGCTGCAGGAGCGCATCCAGCGCGCGCGCGGGCGGAGCTGTGTGTTTAATAGGCCCGGGCCATGTCCGCAGCCCGGCGTCGAGCAGTGCAGGAGGCGCTCGGTCATTCCCCGCCTTTGTGCCGGCTCTGTCTAAGGGAGGCTGCCCTGTCTGCCAGGGACAGGTGGAGGCTGCCGGGCCCCGAGCTGGGGTCAGCCCCCCGTTGGGTTAGTTGCATCAATAAGGAAGCTCAGGTCTCCCCAGCCAGCTGGGGTTTCCCCATAAATTAAACTCTCCGCTGCAGACAAATCTCCCCTGCCGGCAATGAACCGGGCAGGATTGTGTGTCTGCCGCAGGGTCTGCGCCGGGCAGGGGGCCAGGTGGGCCCTTTGGGGTGACTCTGCCTCTGGCCCCAGCTCTCTCTAGCTGCAGGTTTGGTTGACGCCTGGTGAGTGTAACTTCCGAGTCACTAAGCTGGGCTGGAAAGTGGAGAAGTCGGCTGCTTGGCAAACAGCCCAGTGTCCTCCCAGGGAAGGGCTAGGCAGCGAGCCGCCTGCAGGCCACGGGGGCTGAGCTACATCTGGGCCACCAGGGCTGCGGGACCCAGGAGTAAGCAGTCGGAACACCGGAGTTTGCCGAGGTGTTGAAGCGCCTGGTCTAAAGGGAGTCTCCAGCGTGCAGTGGGGATGGGGAAAGGGCTGCCTGGGGGATAGAAAGGGGCTCTAAACCGGGACACAAAGGGAGGGAAGATAAGGTCACTTTCCCCGGCGGCAGGGCAGTGTGTGTGTGTGACACACAAACGCAGCCGGCGTTGGGGGAGAGATTTGCGGATTCCCTTCGGAAGCGGAGCCAAGAGGCGATAAGGCGGAGAGACGCTGCAGCTGCGGACGGAACGTGGAGTGTCTGGGGCAGCCAATAGAGAAAGTCGGGTAATTTAGACAAGTTAAAAGCGGTGTCTGGGGGCAGCAGCCAACCTAGAGCGACCACCCGCGCTAATTGGGGCGGCCGGAGCCGCTGGAAAGCTGCAGGGACGGGGGGGTAGAAGTGGGGTTAGGCCCCCCCGAAGGCGCGTGAGGTCCCCCAGCTGCCCGCTCTCCGGGCTCAGCGGCAGGGCGGCCCCAGGCAGACCCAGCTGGGGAGCCGGAGGGATGGAGGATACTGGGCGGGGGAGCTGTGCCCGGCGCTGGGGCAGCGCTCATCTGCCAGTGCCCACCCCGCAGCGGGAGGGGAGCGCAGCGGCGTGCGGGTGGCTCTAGGGCCCTGGCCTGGGTCAATCCTGGGGCGGCTTCACCCCGGGAGGCGGCCGGGGGGGGGGGAGCCGGCTCTGGGTGGAGCTGCGCTTTGCCCCGCCAGCGGGCCGGGCGCGATCCCGCAGGGCTCGGGGCAGGGGGCCTGGGGCCACTCGCTTCCCCCTGCTGCGCCCCAGCCACGTCCCCCGCCTAGATTGAAACAAGCTGCTCCCATCACCTGGGGACTGGAGCCGCCCGGCCCCTGGAATGCGACCGAGCTATAAAAGTGCAGCCCGGCTGGCCGGCTCCTTGAAGAGGGAACTTGAAACCCCAGCGCGGCCCCCAGTCCCGCTCCTCCTCTGCAGCCTCCCAGGGCTGCTGCCCGGGTCACGCCGCAGCTCCCCCTAGCGCCTGGGCAGGTGTCTCCCGGGGTGGCAGCGGGGCCGGGGGCCAGGCCCCTCTCTGTGTATTTCTACCGGGCCGCGGGGAGGGGGCGGCTCTGCTCCGGGGCGCTGCCAATTAAAGGTTGCAGGGCCAGGCTGGGCCTGGTCGCGTGGGGGGAGAATTAGAGCCTGTTGGGAACCAGCCTGCAGGAAACCCCGGCGCTAGTTGCGGAGTCTCCAGCCCCTGACAGCGGGGCGGTGTGGTCCCGCCTCCCTGGTCCCCCCAGTCAGTGCCACGGGCGGTAATTAGCTGCTTTAAGGAGCCATGGCGGCGCTGGAGGCTCAGGGACCCCCCCAGCGGGCGGA